ACATCTTCCAAAAGGCAGTCTGGTGAAGCAGTAGCTGCCAAATTAGTGTATTTAGTGTTGAGGCTTTCTGTGGCCAGGCAATCTACCAGAACCCGGCTGAGATGCTGGAGAAGTTAGCTCCCGTCACCTCCACACACATTTCCACACTTGTGTGTGCAAGTGGAAACATTCCCTCTTTTGTTCTGGTTCAGCTCTTGGGGTCAATGCCATTTCAGTCCAGCTGAGTCCCCGCTGGGGGCTGTTTATAACTGGATCCAACATCTGGCGCCCACATGCTTCCAAGGTCAGCATCTAGACACTGTCTCTCTACATTTGACCTCTTGCATGCACTCTTGAGGTGCAGTCCCCTTGTCTAGTACCTCTTTCTTGGGATGTGAGATTTCCTTGCCCAGCTGCTGATGCCTGCCCTCTGCAGTCTCCCCAGTCCTCACACATGCTCTCCCTAGACCTCCACTCTGGTGGGGCATAGGGTAACCCTTTGGGAACACAGACATGGAAGGGATCTTCTTTAACACACCCATTACTCTTAGGAAGCACAAACGATTTACGGATCAGCTATGTGAAAACTGCTTCCCACTCCTACAGGTCTTTCTTTGTTTGGTTAGTTTCCTTTGCAGAGTGCAGATGAAGGGAGGTCTCTTTGCCCCTTCTGCTCTGTCTTCTCCTCCTGGTGAGGGTGTGCCCCTTTGCCAGTGAGCGTTTCTCTTTTTAAAAGCAGTCTGTAACACCTTTTCTCCTTTACTCCCTCCACTGCGGGTTTTTTTCCATTCTCCAACCCCCTGCTGGCAGCTACTTTGTAGTGAATGTTGTCTAAGAATCAATAGCAAATCAATAGTCTTTGGCCAGTAGTCTCCTGTTGTCCCACCAGACAATGGCTTTTCCATTGTTGATGGGCTCTGGAAGTCTCCATCATTCAGGATCCAGGCGTCCTGAATCCAAGAGGGATGTTGCAGTGTACAGTGAAAGGCACGATCTAGGCGACACTCAAAATAGAGTTTGAAATACAAGACGGTTTTCACAAAATTAGAGTGGGGAGACAGATGTAGCCCCGACCTGTCACCAGTGCAAAACGTGGGTCTATCTCCTCCCCTTTTTCTGCAGTCAGAGTGCTCTCAGCCTGCTGAGGTTAAAGCAACGAAAGCAACATTCCCATTGTCGTTGCTACTTGCTGTGTGCATCATGCCATCTGCTGTCAGGCTCTCCAAGTGCTTGTGAAGGCCATAGGACCGGCAGGTAGCATGTATAACAGGCTCTGTGACTCACCATTCACCAAGAGGCGAACCTTTCCCACGAGTGCTGCCTGCTCATCTGATGCACCCAATCCAGTCATGCCTGGCTCACATTTCTTACCAGCATTCTTATTCTGCCTTTTTGTGGGGCAGATGCTCTTAAACGGGCCCCAGCCCGCTCTCTGTCTGGGAAATGCCACCCTTAATCCACACACTTCACATCTGTATTGCCCGTGAAGGATTGCTTTGTGTGTCGGACTGCCACGCGCACAGCTGCCCTTTTGCCTTTGAATCTCAGAGACCATTTAACAGTCCCGGCATTTGTCCTTTGGACCCTTTGAGCCTTAGAAGCGTTCTGCTTCTGTTCCTGCTGCTACCTTCACTAGCGCCCCATGCCTGTTTGTATGTCTAGTGGAAACTGTGATTAGGTATGTGCCCCCACTCAGGCCAGGGAGGGGTTAATGTGGGTCTGGAGGGCCCAGGAGGGGGTCTGGCTGCACTTGGGGGGAGAGCCAGGCCTAAATGAACAAGAGGTGGAGTAGGCTGGATTATAAAGCCAGGAAGTTTGCTGCAGGAAGAGAGTCATGGGAGAAAACCCAGGAGAGAATAAGCCCCGGGTTTCTTGCCCTGGAAGAAGGGTTAATAGGCAGCAGGCTTATAACAAACAAAAGGAAGCACTTCTAGGCTCAATACACAGTCTATCTGTGGAACTTCTTGCCAGAGGAATTGTGAAAATCAGAAATATAACAGGGTTTAAAAAAAAGCAGGTAAGTTCATGGGGGATAGGTCCATCAATGGCTTTTAGCTAACATGGCTAAGCCTTTGAGTGCCAGAAGTGGGGACTGGATGACAGGGGATGGATCGATCACTCAAAGTTCCCCAGTTCACTTCATTCCCCCTGAAGCATTTGGCACTGGCCACTGTTGGCAGACAGGAAGCTGGGCTGGACGGACCATTGGTCTGACCCAGTCTGGCTGTTCTTATGTCAACCCGGAGGAGTTGTGGGGGATGAATCCTGGCAGGGCCAGGGGGAAGAACGGCATGGAAACAGCACCAAGGGGTAGGACTGGCCGATCGAGGCTGGTCCCTGGGCCAGAAGGCCGTGTAAAAGGGAGGCCTGGGGTCCCCTCTCAGTTGCTGGGAAGTGGCTCAGAAGCATTGGAGCCTCCAGCCAGACAGCTGCTTTCCAGAGATTCTGCTCACCTGGAAGGGGAGGACTAGGTAACGACTGGGAAGGAGGGCGGGCCACATCGTGAAAAGAGAGCACCCCAACTTGTGATATGGCGAGAGGGGCCAGGGCTCGAGTAAGAGACGGAAGAGGGGGCCAGACCGGAACAGCCACAAGGAGGTGCCACTAGCGGTGAGTGAACCCCTCCACCGAAGCGCTGATGCACGTCTATTCGAGTAGCTGTTCCTCCAAGCTCGTTTCTTTCTTACCATTATGAACGGCTTGTCCCCTTCGCTTCGGGACCCCTCACCTTTCAGCAGCAACCCCGTCGTCTTCCTGAGCTTATTACAGTTTCCACACGCTGGCCTCGATGCTGGCTACTTTCTCCGTTCTTTCTTCCCCAGAACTCCCTTCCTTCCCTGCGTACCTGGGGGTTTCCTTTACCATTGCATGCGCACAGCAAGCCTCTCTTGGCCTTTACGTGCGCTTCTTTGACCTTTCTGACTTCAGGCCCATAAGTCTGAACGGCCTTGCCCGTGCTTCTTTGTTGTTGCACCTCTGACGCTATTCCTGGTCGTGGCCTTTGCGGGGTCGGAACATGGGACCTTTGGTTTAAACGCCTGGCAGCCTAGTGCCTGGGCTAAAAGACCTAATCTGTCAACCTAGTGCCATTAGCAGGCTCATAAATCTCTAGCCACTAGAAGGGAACAGACACTCTTGGCCAATGTGTTGCCCTTTCTTTTATGAGAGAGTCTTAATAGTTCAAATTCCCAAGACTGGCTTTCCATGTTCTGCCAATGACAAACTCCGCTCCTGTTTCCTTTCCTTTCCAGGGCCTAACCTTGCGAATAAATCTTTCCGGAGTAACATTTTTATCAGCCTAAAGTGACCCCCGAGCCTGTAACTTTCACCCCCTTTCTCCTCTTCAGCACAGACTGAGTCGTGTGCGTATCCAGTGCTCCCCCACCTGCGACTGTCAAAAGCAGTGCGCCGCGGCGCGCCTCTTCCAATTTACTGGCCCCCTATGGCTTTGGCGCACCATTCCAGCGGCTGCTTGAACTTTCCCCAGGTTTCCGCGGGATCGCCCGTGAATTTCAGGGTTGGTGAAGGATTTACTTGTCCCTGTCAGGCAGCAGCCATTAGAGCAGGGCCGTCCTTAGGATTGATGGGGCCCTGTGCAGCGTCATGAAACTGGTGCCCTGTGCCCTACTTGCTCTTAGCAACATGGCCGTAAGCGCGTGGCACTGGAAACGGGGCCACAGGCGTGTTAGGAAAACAGTGTAAATCGGTGAGGCCCACGGCAGTGCTGATGGACTATACCCCCCCATCCCATTGCTGATGCACACTGAGGGTCTGACGTAGCAGAGGGGCAGGGGGTTGTGGCAGCAAAGGTATCACGAACTTGGAGGGTCACAGTTCCCCACAGAGACCCCATGACTCCTCTCAGAGAATGTGACGGGCTAGCACACGCGGCTCTGAATACAACCTCTGCCTAAGGAGACTGCAGCGCACACTGGTGTGAGGGAGCCGACCTGCTCCTAGGGAAAATGGCACCCTTGGCCAACTTGCATTGTGGTGCCCCTGACCCCCATGGATGTAGCGCCCCCCCCCATTGGCTCCTCCCCACCCTCCCTTGGTCCCCAAAGGCCTGGTCTCCCTCCTGCGCCTCGAATCCCTGCACCCCTGCCTCCCTCTCCTGCAGCCACGAGGGGGACCTGCCCTGGCTGCACAAAGCAGCTGGCCTTGTGGCCTGCTCCTCCCGGAAGTGCTGCTTCTCTGCTCCGCATGCCGAGGGGGAGCAGGGGACACCGAGGCTCCCTGCATTATGGCCCCTTTCTCCACTTGGGCTGCGCAGGGAGAGGGCAGGAGAGCAGCAGGTCCTGATGCCGCCCAGCCCAGCCCGGATGGGGGAAGAGACCTGGGGGCAGGGAGCCCTGGCGTGGGTGTGGGGAGGACTGTGTGCAGAAGATTGTGGGGGAAGGGTGTGGCTGGGAGGGGGGTGGTAAAATACCTAACAAAACGCCAGCCTTGCGCTGCTCCCGTCCTGCATAGTTCTCACAGGAACTACCGGGGCAGGCATGAAATAGCGCTATGAAACGGGGACAGATTTTAACAGCATGTAAAACAGTTTGTCAATAGAAACAATGAAAAACTTGGATACGTTTTCGTTACAGGGTCTTGCTAGTCCTTCCCTCCAGGCAGAGAGGCCCCCAGATTGGGTCAGGTACAGCTGTACCCCCAAAGACCAGGCCAGCCCTTCGAATCAGACCAGGCCCACATCCCTCCCCAGACCAATCCGAACAACCCACATTCCTCCCTGGGGTGCAGGGAGGGAAGGGGCAGAGAGAATGGGGGAAGGTCCAGTCTCCTCCATGGATGGTGGTTGGGGGCAGGGAGTGGGGCAGGTGGAACTGGGGCAGGTCCAGTCACCTTAGTTTCCCCGGTACCACATCCTGTCTGGAACTCTGGGACAGCACAGAGACATCTTGTGGCTAAACAATGCACCACAAGTTAATATGTTATGTTGACAAGCTAAGTCAAAGTGCTTTTAGGTATTAGATGGGTCTCAGCCAGAGTTCAAACTTTCTCCTTATTTTTTCTAGGTGCAGCTTCTCCATCAGCAGCCACGGGCAACTTCTGAGCCAAGTTCCAACTGGACCAAGGTGAAGTATCACATAGCATTATATTAACATGAGTTCAAATTTTCTATTCTTCTTGTAGCTCCTACTCTTGTAATGTCGGTAAGTGTGAGTGCTTCCCTCACACAAAGTTTGTGGACTGTACTTGGTCCATAGATAACAGACTGGCCACAGGTGGGTTAGATGCAGCCCTTATGTCAGAGCTATATGAGTGAGTCCCATCCATGACATTTCTTTTTTTTTTTAAATGTCATTTGAGATTCTTCCATGTTCACGTGACTATCCGCTGGGCTTTTATGGAGAAAAATAAGATTGCGAGGCTTCTGATAAAATTGTAAGAGTTGGCAATACAGCAACATGCAGGAAAATCAAATGCAGGACATCCTTAATTTTTAAGCCGTTCAAGTTACAACAAACAGCACTTAAAATGCTTACCAACATTGACCTTCTGTGGTTCTGCAAATTCTTTGGTTCGCCACCAAGTCAGGTCCCTGGGGTGCCGGATTAGATATGTTCAACCTGTATTATATCGGCAACACAAGGGTCCCAAGTATTTGCAACGAAGGGGGTGGAGCGCTGTGAGGAGGTGAACGATGTTCTAGTAGTCATTAATTTAACATGTGAGATGGAGAGGGAGGTCACACAGGAAGCCTGTGTGGTAGTATTGGACTCAAGTCCTAGCTAGGAACCATCCTTCCTCTCAGGATGACTCTAGGATGCCAAGGGGCACATTTGTCTGTCGCACAGAATTTTGTCTCGCCCTCTGTTGGGTGATCCACAGTGCAAAGGGAAATGGATAGGATGAGTTTGGCTCCTGGGAATGCCCTAGTTTGCAAGGAGCCAGCAGAGCGGACACACAGGAGAGGACCCGTTGTTATTTCTCTTGGCCATTACTGCATTACAAATGGCTATTCCAAGCTCTGTTCCAAAATGGTGTCATGGCTTGACTGCTGCCATCAATTGCCATCCACACTGCAGTTAGCTGACATAATTACTTATTGTTACAATCAGTGCCCATTAGGTTAAAGCTAAATTACAGTCTCAGTCCTCGGGAGCTGCCGATTAGATCCATATGAATACGCAAAGTTCATCACTCATGATTAACGTTGCTACAGCGAATACAAAAGGAATTAGTGAGGACCTGCCACTTATTGTAAAGTGCTGCCAGATTATAGTATCCGAGATGATGTGTCAACGGTTAAAATTTAATAATCCATGCTGGAGCGCGGCGTCCCTGATTGTAACATGGATCGAAGGAGAAACCCCATTGGCTTTTTATCAGTCTGAGCGCTGCGACGATGAGACCAGTAACCTACCTGGGTCAGGAGTCATTGACCAAAGCATTAGCGACACAATCGGGAAGCCGGGCAGTTTGTCACAATTGCACCCTGGGGCTAGAGAAGGCAGCATGTAGGTTAGAACAGCGTAAACACAGGGCTCGGCTGCTGGCTCGGCATGGGCATCACTGCAGGTGTACCTGTCCTAGGGTCTTTGGGGGCATGTGTGTGCCCGGGGGCCTCTTTCAGCCCAGGGGCCTTTTAAACCCGGCGCCATCGGTAGTTCCCAGGCATGAGTCTGACAGGAAATCACAGGGAGACTTTCTGCCTCTTGGTTGGGCAGTTGCTAGGAGGGACTGTGGTCTGGGGAAGGGCCCAAGGTGCTGGCGTGGGGTGGGTTTTGTCCCCACTCGCTAGAAAGGGCCATCACAGGGAAATGGCGATGTCATCACGCTCTCCCGGAGTGATTTATTTCGAGCCAATGAACCTCGTGTTGCTTAATGAGCCTCCCCCAGGAAGGGGGGCGGACTCACGTGTGAGCAGACAGCTGTATCGGTCTGCCTGGGGGTAAATCTGCCCCGGCCTTTAGGCATAGCCCTGGGTGTGGGATGGCAGCTACCTGACTTGCCGAGCAGGAGCACCAAGAAGCTATTGCAGCTCAGACAGATCCCAGCAAGGCAAGGGGAGAGTCTGCCAGGTTGGCCCCGTATCATGCACAGCTTTCTCCTGCTCACCAGCGAGCCCATGTCCGAACTTAAGGTGCTACCAGGCCACGTGGGAGGCGGGGTGCCTGGTACCAGGGTACAGTCCAGCCGGTTGTAAGAGTAAAGGAAAGGCCTCTCTCTATGCAATCCTTCTAGCTGGGTAGCAGAACCCATGAAACCCTACTCAGAGAGCCCACGTGGGACAGGGGGAGGACCTCGCAGGAGAAGGCTCTGAACAGTGGTAGCGTGGTGTCTTAGGTAGCAGTAAAACCTTGAGACTGAAGAACTTGCAATAGACGCTGCTTCCCATTGGCATAAAGGCCACTCTGCCGTGTAAAAGGGCCTTTGTGTAAATGCAAACCAGGCCCCACGCGGCCAAGGAAGACAAAGGATGGGGAGGCCGACAGAAGCCCAAGATCACAGGTCAGATCAGACGTGGGCTTAGAATCGCTCTCCCCCTCCCCCCCATAGCAAGACTAGCTTCCATACTGGCTCTTTCTAGCCCCAAACAGACCCACCTTTTCCAAAGTGGCACTGGCTGGAGGTGGGGGAGGGGCTTTAATTTGTGTCCTGCCAACCAAGTCGCCCCGAGCCTGCGTTACAGGAAATATTGAGCGCGTCCAGCTCCATGGCTTTGAAACCGTTTGGCTCAGTGGCTGGCATGTGCCTTGAAGCGCGAATGTTACATGCTTTGTAAACATTCCCTCCTAGCTCATCTGAGTGAAGGCTTGCGTTGCTGTCGGGCTTCGGGACAGAGGTTCCCAAGCCAACAGGAGGGGTTCAACAGGCAATCCAGTGCCCCAAGAGGCAGTAGCTAAGTCGATAGATGAATTCTTCTGTCTGCCCAGTGCCACCTCTGTGGCGGGGGGCTAGGTCAGCTTCACTTCCTCGCCGTGGATTTTTCACAGCCCTCGGTGACATGGTTGGGTTGACCTAACTTTGAAGCACAGACCAGGCCTGTGGATGTGCACGTTGGCAATAGAAACCTTAGATCCCTTTCCGGACCCGCTACATTTCTTATTCCCATGGTTCCTTGTGACCGTGGGTAGATACCATGCTGCACAAAACTGGGCGGTCGTCTGCTTTGCCCTTGGCCTGGCATGCTTGGGGTGGGTTAATCGGAGTGCACCCTTTTCATCTGTTCCATTCCTGATCGTGTTTTTACCGTTGTCATCTTCCTGCTGGTCATCCCCTCTCTGCACTGCGTGGCCCTAATCTTTTCTGTCTCTGTGGAAGAGCCTGCCTCTCGGGTAGCTGGTCCCTGGACCCCTTCTCTTCCCGTGGGATTTTTTTCAGGCAGTGGGTCTGGAAGCGAATGCTGTAATTCTGCGGGAGGGTGCATATAACAGGGTGGCTTGCACAAAACCCTCGCTGTGGGTGCACTGCTAATCAGCGGGGCAGCACTTGCATCTCTCCGCTGGCACAGCGTCCAGGGACTGCTGGTCACTATGGTTCCGTCTGGCCTTTCAGTCTATGGTGTCCAAGCTCCCTCCGGCCCAGTGAAGGCAGCGGATTCTTTTGATGCCTCCTCATTTCCCAAGGGTTTCTCCGTCTGTCCGTCCTGGCCATTCCAGAGCTCAGGAAAGCAACAGCAAGAGCTGCCAGCTGGGCCAAATTCTCAGCCGAAGGGCAGCCCAGTCCCCCAGCCCTTGCTCTGGTCACAGGGTTAGAGTTTCATCCAGCTTCTGTTCACACACCCGCCTCAACATGTTGTTTCCAGGGTCGTACGTGTGCAGTGTGATGAGCCCCAACCAGATGTTACGCGCCGTGAGCTGACTGCCGAGCAGGCTCGCTCGCGCTGGGCCCCCAGCTGAGAAGTCAGCCGCCCGTGGAGAAGAGGCTGGCTTCTGCAGCCAGCTGAGCCTCGAGAAGTTGACAAGATCCTGGGAAACAGTCAGACATGGACTGGTGAAGAGACAACTCTCACCCCATCTCCCCGGAGCGCGTCCTGCTGCTCCCTGTGCCGGCGGAGACGCTCCCGTTTCTTCAGACCAACCTGGTGTTAGCCACAGCTGTGGCTCTGGGCTCGGCATGGCTGGCTGCGGTCAGGTGCAGAGAGGAGACCCAACCCTTGGGTAACTGTAAGCCAAAGGACCCTTTCCTGTGCGCTTCACCAGTGTCGTCAAGTTTTCAGTGGAGAATGACGGGGAGGGACATGCTCCCCAGCCCACAACAGGAGGAGACAGCCACGTGGTTCAGACAGAGCGAATGGCTTCCGGGGAGCTAGGTTCAATGCTCACCTCCATGCCCAGCTTCCTGCGCACCAGGGCTAACGCTGCTTTGTCCACCAAGCTGTAAGCTGTCTTGGGCAAAGGCCTGACACAGGCAGGCCTCCAGTCTCAGCTGGGCCTCCGGGTGCTGGTGCAAACTGGGTAATACTAATCGTGGGCCTTGGCAGGGAGGGGAAGGGTGATGCTCAGCTCCCCAAAGGGACTTAGGCACGTAATGTGTATTTTTTTCAATGGGGGGTTCCTAATTCCCTTGGGGATCTGGGCTTTTGTACTTTGCTGTATTGGAAGGGAACTGTTCTGAGCATTCCCATTAGCCCAGTTGTGAGTGCAGTCAGCACAGGAATACGTTTCTAATCCCACTCCCCAAGTCCGTGTGTATCTAGCTGCTGGCTTCATCGTGCTCTAATACTCTTCATTTTTGCATCATTTTATTACACATTTGTACAGCCCCGGCACAACAGTGCCCGGCTCCTGTCTGGACCTCTCGGGGCTATTCTAATACAGGCCTGTTGGCCCTGCTGTCTCTCCCGCCTTTGGAATCCAGCTGGCCAGCGACTCTCGGGAAAGCATCCTCCAGGGACTGGCGGGTGTCTGGTCTGGAAGGCTCACTGCAGCCTACGAGATAGGAGGTCTGCTTGTGAGCTGAGATCAACCACTGTCACCAACGGAGCTGTGCTGACTTCCCTCGGCTGGCGCTCTGTGGCGTGGCCCTGTGTTCTAAGGACGGCTGGAGGGAGCTAGCAGCCCTGGGTGGATTTCAAAGAGGAGGAGAAATACATTTCTAAATAGCACAGAAACAAGTCTGACTCCAC